AACATTTACAAATTTAGGAAATTTGCTTGCAGCACTCGCAGAACTGTACCTTATTTTAAAGGTTTCGACGTGAACATCGAACAGAATCTACGTGTAAGGAAAAAAGTTTGAAAACACCGAAAACCGTGAAAAATTCGCCGGAATTGAAAGGACAACCTGAAAGTAATTACAATCCAATACCTTAAATACCGATAACGAAATATGATAAAGGGAAGTTCTTTTAGCATAAAGAAAGTGGTATGGTTACGATTTCACTTGACGATTACGTTTACATTTATTGTTCAAATTTATAGCTATTTTCCACGTTTTCGGAACATGAGGTTTCTTTAAAAAAGTTGATATTTCTAAACAAACAATTAGTACTTTTCTTATTCATTTTATGTTGTAAATTTGCTTAACGTTGCTCGTTATTATTTTTAAAGCGTTCGAAACATGCGTTAATACCGGTTTGCGAATCATTATCTATCTTTCGCAAATTTCGGTATTTTGCAATAGTTTCAGCCCGAATTTTACATGAGGAGTATTCACAACGTTTAAAATAGCCACATCCAAAAGTGACCGCAAAAATACCTCCGATGGGCAGACTCTGTGGCCGAGGCGGCGAGTAGTTTAAGCAGACGAGACAGGGATTTGACGAAGGTTTGCCCTCCTGACCATGCAGCTCTAGCAGGGCCTCAAGGCGCCGGTAGACAGCGCCACTGGCAAGCCGGTAGTCAGGACGAGAATAGAGGAGGTTGACAAAGGGGTCCTTTGAGACAGGCGTCTCGCAATCCTCCACCCGGTTGAAGTCGAAAGCTGCAAAAGGGGAGTAAGGGGGGAATCAGCTCTCTTACTTGAAAAAAGAAACGTCATGCACAGTTTTGCGGCCGGCACTCGAGAAGGAAGCTGCAAAATTGGGGAGAGGGTAGTTGTGTTAGTGGGGGGATAAACATAAGTCGGCGGTTTTTAGAAACAAAATTCCCGGAAGGCAAGCCGCAGAGTCAACAAGCAACAAGGCCGAACGGTTAAAAATCAAGATGAGCGAAAGGCGTTGTATGGTGGACAAGAGCAACCTCCTAGAACACTTTGCCTATCCTGAGTGACAGTGGTAACAAATAAATTGACCAGGCCCCTGGTGACGCTTTAGACATGGGATTTAGGTGAGGATAGAGACGAAAACCCGTTAAGCAAAATGCAACTGAAGGCGGCGACTAGAAGACGGGCAGCTCATGAAGTACTACCTGGCACGGAGATGTGCGGATCTGTGTATCGAGACGAGTGAGTTCGGTTAGCGACCGGTGAACGTTCATCAACGAGCGTGAATATCTTCCAATCTAAACCGGCAAGACAACGAGCTCGTGGGTCAATGATTAGAATGTTAGACTTTTGATCCCAAAGGTCACGAATTCGAGCTTCGGGCGGTACGCCACTTGGGACTGGGTATGACTGGCTGATGACGGCTAGTAAGCCAGAAATGGCTATTCCAGTTTCCCCGTTTTTTTGCTGGCAATACTATCTACATAGACTACTGGCCGTTGTATGTCTGCTGTCAGGGCCGAAGAATGAGACCCAAGGCAGAGCGGGACAAGTGAGTTCCATTAGTGGTCGGTAAACGTTCATCAACGAGTGTCAATATCTCCCGGCAGGATTTCACTAGCCGGCCTGAATCTCTTCCATAGTAGCTACTCATCGACGCCCCATTTCATATCGGTTTGCCAGTTATATTGTTGCTATGAATTTGCAATTTACATTCATAGCACTACTATCTTCGCCGGATGAAAGACCACCTCCCGTGTTTAAACGAACGGTAATGCCTTAAAATACACTGAAATATGGTCAAAACTTTATGTACAGAATAAAAATAAAAGTGACGGGTATGTAAATTTGAAGTCCACACGGCTGTTAATACACCTGACGCAAAAATCGGCTAGTTCACGATCGGAAACATCTCCAGAAAGCCAGCATGGAAAAGCAAAAACGCGAACCCCCAATCGACACTGGTCACCAGGGCCGGAAAAGACCCGGGCGGAATAGAGCAGAAGACTAGAATTTCGAACGTGTGTTCATACGTGTGTTGCACGTGTTTAGTGGAGGCCGTACGATACGTCATCTCTGATCACATCTTTGTGAAAAAAAAACAGAAAAACTAACTAAATGCGGACCTTATACATCGGATTCCGCTCTTTTGAAAAGCAAACCCGACACACATTTATACTACAACGACTGTCTCTGGCGCTGACGAAGAAAATGGGTCGAACTGTCCGGGTCTGCGGCCATGGATCGTCGCGCGTGGAAAAGCACCATACGGGACATAATTGAGGCCGGTTAGATCAGTCATGATCGCAGTCGTAACAAGTACAAGTAAGTAAGTTGCATTCCGAGATGACATGATGAAAAGCTAGATCTTCGAAAAATCGAGTTGTACCCGTAAATTTTCGAACAGGTATCAATTGTTCGTCGTCAGACTAAATGAAAAGTGGGGGTTGGGAATTTCTCACTAGAGGCTTTGGGGGCAGAGGTTACAACGAGCGGGGATGGCGTTGGGTGGAGGGTTACGGTGACGTGAATTCTGCGGCGATAGGTTGTGCAGGTAAGGGGGGAGGTGTTAACGTTTGGATTGTGGGCCACGTGTTCCGGGTAAAGGGGGTGTAGACCCAGTGTAGTTCTACTTTATCGAGCACAGACGGCCTGCTGTTGTTTCAGGCTGGGCGCAGGTTAGTGAGCCATGCGCCGAAACTGGCAAAGAGTGAATCAAGGTTTACGTGTCTGTATATACTGGCCGGGCTCGAGTGCCAAGCTTCGAGGAATTCTCTCGCTTGTCGCATATTAGCTATTGCGATCCTCTCGTGCCATCCCGATTGAAGCGGTGATCACTGCGTAAATGCGAGTGATAGAGGGTCCCGTCGGCGAACGGCTAACTTATGTTCCTTGATGCGAGTCTCGATACGTCGGCCTTTATGGCCAATATAAACACAAGGACGGCCGGCGCACGGTATGAGGTAAATAACGTTACTTAATTGTTCTACGGGTAGGGGGTCCTTTACTCGACATAGGGTTGCGCGCAGTGATGATGCGGGCTTGTGGGCTAGAGAGATGCCGAAACGACTTAGTTGGTTTCATATATTCCATTCATGTAAGGTAGATAATAAATTTCCGTGGCACTACATCTCTATTGGGAGCGAAGTTTCGTGCTTGACACCAACGTCTAAGGAAATTTTTGGCAAAGCTTTTCGGATATTCGTTGGCCCGGAAGAATTTGTACAAATACGCTAGTTCTCTCTTGAGCAAACTATCATTACGGCAATAGCGGTAGGCCCGTTGGAAAAGATTATGAACACAGCTTCTTTTAGGA